AGGGCCAGGCGGCGGCAGTGGAAAGGCTGGCCAGGGATATTCACATTGAATACAAAAATAACCGTCATTTGAATACAAACAACTGAAAAGTGCTACACGTCTTAACCTCCTTTAAACAAATAAAAAGAAATTGAAGAAAAGTTTCTGCAGAGGGCTGCCCGGCTGTGCGCTCTCCTCGTTCAGGGGCCTCCCAGGCGCTTCCTGCTTGGGCGCGGACCTGGGCTTCAGAGAGGGAAGGTGTGAGACCCCCGGCTTGCACCACGCTCCGAGGCTCCCTTCTTTACATTCAGCACCCTAATCGGGCGCCCCCACCCGAGCTCTGACACACGGGAGGGGTGGAGCGGAGGGCCTGAAAACCCAAAACTTCACGCTTCAATCCAACCCCTGGCCTAGTGTGCCTGGGACTGTCAGGATTTCGCACCCCTTGGTTACAAAAGCAATTTCCAAAAATAAAAGATATGTAGATACACATAGATTGGTAGCATGGATACCATGAACTCGTGTGGTCTAGTGCAGGACGCTCCCAGCAGGCCTGAAATTCCGAGGATTCAGGCTATGTGGTTTCCAGGAGTTCCCGCTCAGGGAAAACACCACCCCCAGGCAGACATAATTCGAATCCAAATTCAACTCCAACATTGTCGAGATAATAAATAGAGTCCAGGGGCTTCCAGGCCTGTGGGCTATCAGGGCCCCTAGGCCATAGGGTGCCTCTGTTCGAATTAGAAAAAGGCGCCCCCTCGGGGCAGACTCAGCCCAGCTGCCAGAGCACAAGTGCTGGAGCCGGGTTTCATCTCCTGGTGGCCCCTTGGCGGGGCTCCCGGTGCAGGCTACAGCCTACAGCAGTCAGCGGCAGTCCGGAGCCGGGCGCGGGAATCACTCGCGGCCTCAGCCCAGGTCGGTTCACTGGGTGCCTGCGGCGGCCGCGCAGGTGGAGAGCGCCCAGCCTGGGAGGCAGTAGTAGGGGTAATAGTAGGAGGGCTGCAGTGGCAGAAGCGAGGGTGGCCGGAGCACTTCGCCGGGCACGTATTGTCTCTGGTCGTCGCGCACCAGCACCTTTACTGCCACCTTCTTGGCGGCGGGCGCCGAGGCCAGCAGGTCGGCGGCCATCTGCCGGCGCTTGGTCTTGTAGCGACGGTTCTGGAACCAGATTTTCACCTGCGTCTCGGTGAGCTTCAGCGACGCAGCCAGGTCGGCGCGCTCCGGCCCGGACAGGTAGCGCTGGTGGTTAAAGCGGCGCTCCAGCTCGAAGACCTGCGCGTGAGAGAAGGCGGCCCGCGAGCGCTTCTTGCGTGGCTTGGGCGCCGCCGGCTCCTCCTCCTCCTCCGCGACGCCCGCCGGCCCGCTGCCGCCCCCGCCGTCGGCCCCGCCGCACAGCGCGGACACATGTGCACCTCTGGGGCCAACACCGTCGTCCTCGGTCCTTGGGCTGCGGTCGTCTGCGGACCCCGGTGGGAACAGAAACAAGAGACTGTCAGCGCCACAGATGAGGTGAGGCCGGGCCTCAACTGCAGGGGTCACGGGGGTGGGGCGGACATACACTTTGATCCCACTCCATCGGAGCGGAGCTCTGGGAGGCCCTGGGCTCGGGACGCCGATCTCAGAATCTTGCCCCACTGGGTATCCGATCTAGGCCTCTTCAGAGGAGGATGGCTGACTCAGCCGCTGTGCCAACGCTCTGTTGTCAAGACCATCTCCCCACCCTCTCTGGGCCCCAGGCTCCTCTCGGTAATTTGGGGCACTGGACCCGATCATCCCCGAAAACTCTCCCAGCTCTCAGCGCTGAGCACTGGAATTCTAGGCTGCATTTCCGTCTCTCTGCCTGGGTTCACGCGCCTCCCCACACTCAGTTCACACGCACACACGCGCGCGTCCTCGCAGCACACACTTGGTCTGGTGCAGGTTAGGGAAGGTGGAGGCGGATCCAGGGGCCAAAGGTAAGTAGAATTGCACGGGATTGCTGTGAGGGACATGCAAACAGGCTGAGCCAAGGCCTTAGATCGGCTCCTCTCCTCTCTCTTCGCAAGGAAAAGAGAGGATGGACTGGAGAGTAAATACAGGGGACTACCCCTGCCTCGAGTTTTGGGACCCTAATCCCACGCCAGTTTCTCAGCCTCTTACCCGCCCTCCCGAAGCACTCCAACACAAAGGTCCAGCGCTCGCCGCTGCTTGAGACTACAGAGGCTTACACCCAACTGGTGCAGGCACCGGGATCTTCCAGACCACAGAACAGGCCAGGCCACGGCTGAGGAGGCCACTCCCGCCTCCAGGACGAACTAAAGGCCCACTCTGGGATCCTTGGCCTAGGGCTGCTCTCCCAGACCTCGGGTCTGAGAAAGCCAGACCAGCCCTTTCCCTAAAGCTCTAGTTCTGCAGATTCTCAGCTCTGGCCCATTCCAAGATGTTCTTCACTACATATCCACCTACTGTGGGGCCGGGCCCTGGGACCCTGAGCTGGCAGGGCCTCTGGTCCAGAGCTAAGGCACTAGCTATCTGAGGTCTCTGAACCTCTCGCTTTTCTGCTTCCCTGATTTTGGGGGTTTGGGGACAGACACGGCAGAAAGCATTGGCGACGAACTCAAAGAACCCCGAATGCAGGGGGCAGCGGTTCTCCAACCCAGTCTAACGCGTATGGGCCCGGGACGTCTTAGGCCTCGTCCGGGGACGGGACGCAGGGATCTGAGGAGCTCCTCCGGTCTCTCCCGGCTCAGTTTCCCAAGGGGTAGAGCAGCTCGCGCCAGCGCGCAAACTTCGGGACTTGGCCAGCCTCCGAGCCCCAGGGCGCGGGGTGCTCATAGCCTGCCACCCCACTCGGCATGGTTGCCCTCCACGTCCATCCCCTCAGCCCGGCCCCCATCCCCGCGAAGCCGCAGCAGACCTGAGACGCTGGCGGACATCTCGCTGTCGCTCCGGCCCGCGGCTTCCTCCTCTAGGTCTTTGGAAGCGGCCAGCTCACAGATCGGCTGGCCGAGGCTCAACGATCCCCCCGCGAAGCCGGCCCCGCTGGCCCCCGGAGCGTCCGTGCAGCGCCGCCTGCTCTCGGTCTCCTCGCTGAGCGCGGAGTCCGAGTCCCAGCCTTCCGGGCTCTCTGCAGTCCGCCCCGCAGCTGTTCCGGTACCAGCCGGAGACGCCAGCAGAGAGTCCTCGGCGCCCCCCAGCGCGCCCGCGTCCCTCTCCCCAAAGAGCCGCCAACAGCAGACAGCGGGTGCCGCAGCCACCGCCACCGCTGTGCCCCCGGGCGCCGGGCGCCCCTCTGGCGCGGCCAGCCCCACGCGCTCCTCTTTCTTGTTGAGGATCGCCTGGATGGAGAAGGGCGTCAAGGTGTTGGCGCCGCGCACAGCCATCTGCGCCGCGGGCCGGAGCGGCCGGCGGGGAGGGAAGCTGGAGAGCCGAGCAGCTCCGAGCTGGACGGAGAGCGCAGGCTGCCGTAGCTCGAGTGAGCCGGGTGCGCGAGGCCGCAGACGCCCACTCCTGCGCGGCCCAGCAGCCCCCGCCCCACTGCGTCCCAGGATCTGCGCCGACCCTCACCCCCACCTCAGAGGCCCACCCCGCCCGGTGACCCCCTCCCCCCGAATCCAGAGCCAGACGCTCTCCTTGCGCAGCTCAGCTGGATTATCTCATCCCTTTTCGCCCTTAGGGGCGGGCCGGGGTCTGCCCCCTCGGGGGACGTGGAGGAGGATTGGCGGGGGCCCCTCCGCTGCTGCAGTCCCCTCCCGAGCGCCGCCGGGGCGCGCGGCCCGAGTCACTTTTCTTTGAGCGTCTGTCCCTTCCCAGCCTGCAGGATTTCGCTCCTGGATCGTCCTCCCCTGCCCTGCTGGGCAGGCTCTTCCGGAGCCCAGCCCTGGCGGCAGCGGCGACTGCAGTGGCGGCCGCGGCCGCTGGATTCCAAGAGGCGCGGGGCACCTTTTTACCCCCTGCCCGGGTTTTATCTGTTTCTTTTCTCTTTCCTTCCCTAGCGTTCCACTGTACCGCCCCCCTCCCGCACGGGTGTCATTCCTCACTGCTGAGTGACAGCCTCAGGCCACGCCCCTCCACTGGGCTGTCCCGGGCGCTCCCGGCCGTGCATTGGCTGGCTCCAGTTGGGCGACGTTGACTTTAACAGACAAAACTGGGCACTTTGCGCCGCTAAAGACAGGGTCTGACTTAACCCCTTCTCTCCTAAGCCTGGTCCTCGAAGCACGCTCCAGCAACTGGGAGGCTCATCCACCCCAAATCACGTATCTTAACTCTGCTGATGTATCCACCTATTCCAGCACTTTAATAGAACGCTGATAATTAGTTGAGTCAAATCTGCGGAGAAAATCCAAAATAATGCAGTTCCATAAATCATGCTCGTAGTTTCTGTTCTCTAGGAAGAATCATAAACACGAAGACCAAAATGCATCCTTTTTTCTACCTACAGTTTCGCCGATACCTCATCGCTAATGTTCTTTGCTGAAATGATCAGTTAATTAAGATCACTATAGAAATATTTTTCTTTCCTCGCCTTCTTTGATTTGATTCGATTTTTATAGAGGAATTAGAAAAAATGGTGTCGTTAGAAGTAAGGTCAGGAGAAGAACTGAAAGGCATCTTTGGGAGAATTTCTGTAAATTTTACGGTCGTTTCCCTGGCCGATCAATACTGAATTTAATTGGAGTTTGTTAAGTTTTGCATCAGGAAGAAAAAAAAAAACTTTCATTTTTTAAATCTCTTACTTGTGCGTTGAATAAAATTATAAATAGATATGTTTGTTTGCTTAAGAGTATACCTAGGAATTACCATAATAAAGTGATCCAGAAGCGACAACACTTTTTGCGCTTCAAAAAAGAAGAAATGCATGTATTATATAATAGGAGGAACCAAGCTAAGAAATACAAATATTGTGGGTACATAAAAACATTTTTAAATTTGTTATTCCTTTTTTTTAACATAAAATTTGCTCAATTAACGTACTTCACTGTTCTCCATAAACTTCACCAGAAGGTTAACACCAAATACACAAACTTGAACCATTAAATATGTTTAAAGGACTATGATTTTACTTTAATAAATTGCTAGGACTGGTGTTTTTGGTATCATTAAAATAAATAACCTTTCCCCTTGTTGCTTTCTTTTTGGTTGTTCTTGTTCTGCACCGCAGGAGGAAATACACCCACTATTCACAGTTTTCAGCCTCAGAATGAGGTTTTGCAGCATCTATAGTTTTCAGCATTTCTGCTACATGATGCTTTCTCGATTTGTGCAGACCTTGTAGGATACCTGGGGAAAAAAACACTGACTTGAAGAGATCATTGCCCTTTATAGCTCTTTACAATTACATCAGTATTGAAGGAACGCGGTTTAAATTTGGTGTCAGTGCTCAGCAAGTGTAAGGACGCAGAGGGGAACACAGCTGAATGCTTACCGTCTTTCAAAACCCTGTGTCCTCTCCTCCCCGCTATGTTATTTAATTTATCGTTCTCCGCACCCCAGGCTGGGATGCTGGGAACTACAGTGAGGAGATTGACACTGGTTGCTTGGAAGGTAGGGGAAGGGCAGCTGTGGGTTTGGTGTCCCGCAGTTATCTCTTTGTGGATTTAGGAGTTAGTGCTAATAGTGGAGTGAGATCCGAATCATAAAGGCAGGCAGAGATGTTTGGTGGCTGAATGACAGAGAACTAGAGTAGGTTTGGGGCCATGTAAAGACTTGCTTGAGAAAAAACTACGCTTTAGTTGCGAATCCCTCCCCTCTTCCCTTCGATTCCATGTTCAAAAATAAATCCAAATCACAGTTGGATATGCTCCTGCCACAGGCTTGGGCAGAGGTTTTTAAAGCATGAAAAGATGTGTTTCGGCGATTTTGAGTTGTCGGGTATTTTTGTGTCCCAGGAGTGTGAGAAAGACGTTCCGCGTCTTCCGGAAGCGCACAGCAAGGGAGGCTCCTGGTGTCATCTCGGGCCACTGCGGCGCTTAGCCGACCATTAGGTTTGCGGGTGACCGTAGGCAGGGCCGGGAGCTGGGTGCTTGGCGAGAGGGTGAACTCATGGGTCCTGAGCTGCAACTAGAAGCTGCTCCTAGAAAGGGGTTGGGTGGGAACGAAAAGGCTGTGGGGGAGGGGGTGGTCAGACGCTCAGAAATACCCGGCGTCACTGCGGAGTCCAGGCCCAGAGTGGGGGTGTGTGGCGAAGGCGCAGCAGGCCCGCGCCAGTCGGAGGACCGCAGATCCTAACGCGATCTCGCGGGCGTGCCTGGGCCCCGCTTCGTGCCCATCGAGGGCGACTTCCTTCGGGCTCAGCCGTGAGCTCCAGGAACTCTGCAACCTCCCGACGGCGCCACGCTCCGGCCTGGGCCGGCCTGGGAGTCGGCGGAGCGGCGCGGCCGGGCGGGGCGGCTGGTGAGGCTTTTGGGAGGCGCTGGGCTCGCTCGGCGTCCGCGCCCTGCTCGGCCGACGCACCCCCTCGGCTTCCGCGGGCCCATTTTCTCCTAGTCTTCGGCCTCTCTTTCTTCTGCCTCCCTCCCCTCCTCCTCCACGTCTTCCTCTTCTTCCTCCTCCCTCCTCCTGCTCCTCCTCGGCAGTTTGGATCCTGCGGGCCCCTTACGCGCTGCGCCCTCCGGTCCCCGGAACGGCCCGGGCTGGGGACGCTGCTGTGCCGTGAGGCTTCCGCGGGCGGCGGGCGGAGAGCCGGACTCGGCTGCGAAAGCCGGGAGGGCGGGGAAGGGGAAGCCCCGGCCCTCCCGGGCGCGCTGTAGGCTGCTGCGCACGTGCCCGCGCTCCCGGGGTGGGGGCAGTCGGCCCGGGATTTCCTGCGGTGCCACCGCGCGCCTCACCCCCAACGCCTGCCACCTGCGCCCTGGGCCGCCTTCCCTGACGCCAGCGGCCGGAGGGCGCGCCCACCGAGTGCTGCCCAGCAACGAAAGGCCAAGCGGGACTCGTCTCTCAGACGCCGGTGACTTTGAAGTCACCTACTTTCTTTAACTTCTAGTCCTTTAAAACGAGGGCTGGCCCGATGCCGTCTTGAAGCCAGTGCTTCACTGAGTGAGCAAATGAAGGGTATGTGTGGCGGGGAATGGGGGGCGGGGGCGTTGCAGGCTCGCCAGAGCCAGGTACAGGTCCAGGCGGAGGTCGCGCCCAGCACTGACTGTCGGTGCCGGTCCGCAGACTCCCGAGGGCGCTCCAAACCGCCTAAGCATCCCAAGCATCGGGCACCGACGCCTGCGTTCCTGTATTGTCCAGCCCCCTGCAAGGTTTTTCATGCACATGGTCCAAATATATCAGACTGCAGAGAGAAGCTGTATCGTAACTATTAATATAAAAGGTAGTTAAAAAATGTTGCTCACTGACAGTGTGCTAGGAACCAAAGCCTACTGTTTCATTGAATGTACACACCGCTGGGACTGGAATGAGTAGAAAACATTGTTATTCCCGTTTTACAGATGAGGAAACTGTGACTCCTATTAGTAAGTGGCTAAGTCAGGATTTAAATCAGGCTCTGTCTGATGTCAAAAACCATTTGGATTTTCTACTTTAATCGAGTTTTCTCATTAACCTTCAGACTTATTGTTTCCCGTTAGACCTTACCCATTTCTAATTACTTATTATTCATTGGAAAAGGAGCTTCGTTCGGATTTAAGGTAATCAAAGAGAAAATTCAGTCAGGCAAATCTGACTTTTTTTTTTTTTTTTCTGTTCCACACATTTGAAAACAAATCACACCAAGGCCTCAGGATCTGAACGTAAACCTCGTTAGAAAGAAGGAAACACATTTTATTATAATCAACAAACTAAACCATGTGTAGAGACAGCCAGGTGATGGAAACTCAGGTTCAGAAACCAGATTATGTGTGCGGCTCTGAGACGTAGCGAAGCAGCCTCACGCAAGACCCTCTTCGGGGCTTAGTTTTCTTACCTAAAAAGCTAGGGTTGGAAATCATCTTTCAGGGTGTTAGAAAGTCAAGTGCCGGCTTCGAACCCACCCGGGTACGGTGGAGAACGAGCGCCACCTAGCGGGCATCCCTCTGGGGTTGTGTGTACCTTTATTATAGGGACGTACTGGAATAAGCAGTAAATAAAACGGAGTGCTTTGCTTCTAGTTTCGTGTCCACAGCCTCGCGCTGCCGGGGATCTAATAGCAGAGATGCTTCATTTTAAAAAACTCACCCAGGCACGGTCAGCACCTCCACTGAAGACTCACCTCCCTCTAGGGCCAGGGGGAAGAGACTGGAGCAGACTGGAGCAGGGCGCCAGAGTGTTAGGGTAAGTTTAAGAAGGAGGCTGCAGCAAGCCCTGGCCTACCTCCTACCCTATCCTGCATTCCACGCTGCTGGTCTGCAGGCTGCCTGCTGTGAGTATATAACCGAAGCTCTCGCTCAATGATCATTTAGGTCACAGGCATCCCTGTGTGTTTAATTGGCCATAGGTATGTTTTTTAAGAAACTAATTTATTCACGATACAAACTGAGGTATTTCACCCTAAGCATCAGAAACTTCAGGCACTGAAAACAAACCTCAGTTTCACTCTCTCGCCCAGGCTGGAGTGAAGTGGTGTGATCTTAGCTCACTGCAAGATCTCACTGGTGAGATCTCAGATCTCTGCCTCCCTGGTTCAAGGGATGCTCCTACCTCAGTCTCCTGCGTATCTGGGACCACAGGCATGCACCACCACACCCGGCTAATTTTCGTATTTTTAGTAGATACGGGGTTTCACTATGTTGGTCAGGCTGGTCTGGAACTCCTGACCTCAAGTGATCCACCCGTCTTAGCCTCCCAAAGTTCTAGGTACAGCCACCGGGTTCGGAAGGGTTTTATTTTCTTATTTGGGTTGTATACTAGACCGAGGGTGGATGGGTGGATGGCGGTTCTATTTACAGGCTTGGGGAGGACAGGAGGAGGAGCCAGTTTGAACAGATAAAGAGAAAGGTGCTATGTACTATTGCTTGTGCTGAGTTTCAGATGCTTGTGAAATACAGTGAAAATCTTCTGGATTTATTATATATGTATATTTTTTTCTCTAAGACACTGTTCTGAAAGACCTTGCAGTACTAAGCCAAGTTCTTCTTTGGAAATTTCCAACTAGTTCCTGTTTTGTGTCAGGCATTCTTCTAGGAGCTGTAGTTTAAGGCCTTGTAAACTCCTACTTTCAACAGGCTAGCATTCTTTTTTTTTTTTTTTTTTTTTTTTTGAGACGGAGTTTCGCTCTTGTTACCCAGGCTGGAGTGCAATGGCGCGATCTCGGCTCACCGCAACCTCCGCCTCCTGGGTTCAAGCAATTCTCCTGCCTCAGCCTCCTGAGTAGCTGGGATTACAGGCACACGCCACCATGCCCAGCTAATTTTTTTTTTTGTATTTTTAGTAGAGACGGGGTTTCACCATGTTGACCAGGATGGTCTCGATCTCTCGACCTCGTGATCCACCCGCATTCTAGTGGAAGAACATCATAAACAGGCAAATACCTAAACAAACCAATGGAAAAAAACATCAGATGGTAGTAAGTACTATGAAGAAAATTTAAAAAGAGTGATGTCAGCTGACATCATACTGAATGGGCAAAAGCTGGAAGCATTCCAGTTGAAATTAATATAAGACAAAAATGTCCTCTCTCACCTTTTCTAATCAATATAGTATTGGAAGTCCTGCCCAAGGTGATCAGGCAATAGAAAGAAATAAAGGGCATCCAGATAGGAAGAGAGGAAGTCAGACTATTTCTGTTTGCAGACAACATGATTCTATATTTAGAAAACCCCATAATCTCTGTCCCGAAGCTCCTTCAGCTTATAAACAACTTCAGCAAAGTCTCAGGATACAAAATTAATGTACAAAAATCACAGCATTCCTATACACCAGCAACAGCCAAGCCAAGAGTCAAATCAGAAACGTAATCCCATTCACAGTTGTCACAAAAGAATAAAATACCTAGGAATGCAGCTAACTAGGTAGGTGAAAAATCTCTATGATGAGAACCACAAAACACTGCTCAAAGAAATTGGAGATGACACAAACAAATTGAAAAACATTCCATGCTCATGGATAGGAAGAATCAATAGCATTAAAATGGTTATACTGCCCAAAGCAATTTATACATTCAATGCTATTCCTATTAAACTATCATTGAGATTTCTTCACATAAATAGAAAAAAAAAACTATTTTAAAATTCATATGGAACCAAAAAAGAGCCTAAATAGCCAAGACAATCATAAGCATGAAGAAAACTGAAGGCATTATGCTAATTGACTTGAAACTATACTACAGGGCTACAGTAACCAAAACAGTGTGGTACTGGTACAAAACAGACACACAGACCAATGGAGCAGAATAGAGAGCCCAGTAATAAGGGCACACACCTATGACCATATGATTATCAATAAAGCTGACAAAAACAAGCAATTGGGAAAGGACATCCTATCCATACGTGGTGCTGAGATAACTGGCTAGCCATATACAGAAGATTGAAATTAACCCCCTTACATGATATACACAAATCAACTCAAGATGGATTAAAGACTTAAATGTAAAACCTCAAACTATAAGAGCTCTGGAAGAAAACTAGGCAATACAATTTTGGATATATGAATAGACAAATATTTCATGATGAAAATGCCAAAAACAATCACAACAAAAGCAAAAATTGACAGATGGAATCTAATTAAACTTAAGAGGCTTCTGTACAGCAAAGAAGCTATCAACAGAGCAAACAGGCATCCTACAAAATGGGAGAAAGTATTTGCAAGCTATGCATCTGACCAAGGTCTAATATCCAGCATATATAAGGAAATTAAACAAAATTAGAAGCAAAAAACAACTCCAGTGAAAAGTGGGCAAAGGACATGAACAGACACTTTTCAAAAGAAGACACACATGCAATCAACAAGCACACGAAAAAAAGCTCAGTATCACTTATCATTAGAAAAATGCAAATCAAAACCACAATGAGATACCATCTCACACCAGTCAAAATGGCTATTACTAGCCAAAAAATAACAGATGCTGGAGAAAAAGGAATACTTATATACTGTTGGTGACAGTGTAAATTATTTCAACCCCTGTGGAAAGCAGTATGGGTATTCTTCAAAGACCTAAAAACAGAATTCCCATTCAACCCAGCAATGCCATTACTGGGTATATACCCAAAGAAATATAAATTGTTCTAACATAAAGGCACATGCACTTATATGTTCACTGTAGCACTGTTGACAATAGCAAAGATATGAAATCAACCTAAATGCCCAGCAATGGTAGAATGGATAAGGCAATATGGTACATGTGCACCATGGAATATTACACAGCCATAAAAACAAACAAGGTCATGTGCTTTGTGAGAACATAGACGGAGCTGGAGGCTGTTATCCTTAAGAAAGTAATGCAGGAATAGAAAGCCAAATACTGCATGTTCTCACTTAAAAGTGAGCATTAAATGATGAGATCACATGAACACAAAGAGAACAATAGACACTGTGGCCTACTTGATGGTGAAGGGAGAGGATCAGGAAAAATATCTATTGGGTACTAGGCTTAGTACGCGGGTGATGAATTTGTGTAACAAACTCCCACGACATGAATTTACCTACATAACAAACCTGCACATATACCCCCTGTATGTAAAATAAAAGTTAAAAATGAAAATAGAAACAATAAATGGAGTGATGTGATAGAGGGTGACTTGAGGCTACTTTTCATGGGTGAAATTCAAATCTGAAAGAGATACTTTATGAAGACTGAAAAAGAGATTTTCAGAGAGTGGAAGAAATAGTGCAAAAAATGTTAGGTGCAAACCACCATTATGGGCCGAATGTATTCTCTTCAAAGTGATAGATTGAGATCTTAATCCCCAGTGTGTGGGATTAGGATATAAAGCTTTCAGGATATAATTAGTCCATGAAGGTGAAGCTCTCATGAATGGGATTAGTGCTCATACAAGAAGAAACAAGAGAAAGCTTGCTTCCCCCTCTCCTCCCCATCTATCTTTTTCTCTCTGTCTCTACCTCTCTTCTTTTCTCTGCCATGTGAGGATACAACAAGAAAGTGTCTGTCTCCAAACACTGGATCTACCAGCACTTTGATCTTGGACTTCCCAGCCCCCAGAACTGTGAGAAACAAATGTTAAGATTCCAGTCTATGGTATGCTTGTTATAGCAACCCTAGCTGACTAAGATGCAGCTCACAGATACAACAGCTTGCTCCTGTGGCCAGAGGACAGGGGGAGAGGGGCAGAGTGATGAGAGTTGGAGCCTAAGATCCAGCAGGTGTTTTTAAGTCTCAGTGAGGAGCATGGATTTTATTCTAAGTATATGGGAGGCCATGGAAAATTTTACACAAAGGGGCACCTGAATATGATTTACATTTTTGAAAGATTACATTGGCTTTTCTATGACAAGATGATTATGGGGTGATAAAAGGAAAATCAGGAAGACAAATTGGAAGCTAGTGCAAGAGTTCCAAACAAGAGATGATGGTGGCTTGGATTAGGTAGTACTGGAGATGGAGAGAATGGCCAGAATTGCCACCAATTTTGGTGCTATTCTTTTAAAAATATTCTAAAAGTAAAACAAAAAAAAAAATCTAAAAATTGACCATTTTAACCATTTTTAAGTGTGCAGTTCAGAAACATTAAGTACATTGTTGTGCAGCCATCACTGCCATCCATCTCCACAACGTTTTCAGCTTGCAAAACCAAAATTCTTTCCCTATTAAACACCAACTGACCCTTTCCGCCTCTCGCCAGACCCTGGCAGCCATTATTCTATGTTCTGTCTCTATGAATCTGACTACTCTAATTACTTCATATGAGTAGAATCACAGAGTATTTGTCCTATTGGAATTGGCTCATTTCATTTAGCCTGATGTTTTCAAAGTTCATTCATGTTGTAGCATGTGACAGAATTTCCTTCCATTTTAAAGCTGAATAATATTTATTTCTCTATGTATGCCACATTTTGTTTATCCAGTCATCTGTCAGTGGACATGCGTGGCTTTCACATTTCAGCCAGTGTAAATAATGCTGCAATGAACAGGGGTATACAAATATCTCTTTGAGACCCTGCTTTCATTTTTTTGTATGTATGTACATGCTCAGAAATGCAATTGCTCCATCATAGAGTAATTCTATGTTTAATTTTTTGAGGAACTACTATGCAATTTTTCACAGCAGCTGCACCATTTAGCATTCCCATCAGCAGTGCATAAGGATTCCATTTCTCTACATCCTTACCAACACTTATCTTTTATATTTGTTTAATCGTGGGAAAAAACACATGACACAAAATATACCATCTTAACAATTTTTAAATGTACAGCTCATTGGAGCTAAACCTATTCAAATTGTTGTGGAACAGAGCTCTAGAACGTTTTCATTTTGCAAAACTGAAACTCTATATGCATTGAAC